GGGGGGGGGTAAACGTGCTTGTTTCACAACGCAACTGTTTATGTTTGGTTGCTCAGATAGCTTTGCAAATCTGACTCCCTCAGTCAATTTGCCTATCGTTTGATATATCTCTGTAGGCCTTTGTAGACAGGAGTACATGCAAGGGGACGAGACTGATGGGTGTCGCAAGGATACGGCAATTGTCAATGTCCCTTTCATGCGCACGATTCCATGTCTCCAAGTCTTAGCGAAATGCTTTTGGTAATGGCAGTGAACTTCTTGCCTCACGAGGTAGAAGAAGGGGACTATGCAAACTTAAAGGGAATTTCACGCATCTCTTCCATTTCCTATACTGCCCATCAGCTGCCGGTGGAATTTATTATGGGGGCACAAAAAAGTGCAAGCATCAATTCGAAGACAATATTGGTCCAAGGGCACGGCTGGAGAAGCATCGGGCATGAACGCTACTTTTCCAAAGGGTTGCAACGGCTGGGTAATCACAGAGTCACCGAACTTTTGTAGACAGAGAAAACATTACATTATATACTTGCATGGGAAGACCACTTGTTTCCGGAAGGAAAGCGACTGTAAACAGGGTGCTGAACAGCCGGCACCGCCTCGCGTTCAACGCTCAGGCTCGTGAAGGAGCCTGGCTGCCAATGCGTCATGCACCACCTTGGAGTGGCAGCTACAAACTATAATGTTGAAAAGCGATATTGTGTGAGGGTAAACCTAATTAAAATAGCCTGTGCCCTGCTCTTTAAGGCCTTTTGTAGGCACGGGTACAACGCGCGTAGTACCAGCGACTGGGCTGACAGGAGCATCGTACTTGGTACGCCTGAAAATAGATACCCTTTAAATCCTTGGATTTTTGAGTGCGTTGTAGGACCTTGTTGGTATGAATGGCTGTCCTCCACATCTAACGTCGGCAGCCAGCGGCCATGCACTCTCAAGAGTGCACATAGACTGCAGAAGGAGACTAAGAGCTCGAAAGAAAATCCAGAAGTGAGCAAAAGAAGAGTTCATGACTACCCATGATTTGTGGTGCATATGAACGGGTATGCTTTGTCTCGGAACTCGTCACTCGGTTGTGTGCTGGTCGTGCAATTCCGCCGAACCGGCAGACCGTCGGGATGCTGCGAATGGTGGCCTGCAGACATCGTATACGATGCATTTTCATGGTTTAAATTGTCTTTTACCTAGAAAATAAGCAGGTTTAAGTGCTGCGCAGAGTCGAAAGTCGGACAGCCGCCGCCGACAGCCGCGCTTGGATGCATGTCGGCAGCAGGAAGTCCAGCATTCAGTAGTTTCAACTGCACGGGGACAACCAGAGAACACCGGTTTTAAAGTTTTATTTATATATATATTTACATTTTAAGTATGCTTACACAGTTGCCCTAGTTCTACGCACAGCTGACCCCCTTCCTACAGCTGCTTCCTCCCGGAGCGGCCGCTGGCCACCGGCGCCGATGGTCCTCCGATCTGAGATCAGTTGCTCCATATCGCCATATTTGTACGTTATGAACTCACCTCCACCTACACTACCCTCAAAAATCCCCTTCTAGATCCAAAGGGGAGAAATAAAACAATTTCTTCTCCCGGCGCCCACAGCAGCTGCTCCGCCAGCTGCACGGGCAAGTGGCGCTGCCCCGCGTCGACCCATATCGCAGGCTGCAGACACAACAACACATCAGAAGTGATGTCATCGCAGCCCCCAGACAACCGGCCAATAACAGGCCCTTCCGCCGCTGCTGCCCAAGCGCTAGCAGCACACAACTTGCTAGCCCAGAACCCCCGCAGTGCTTCGCTCCCCTGCCCAACAGCCCGAACTTCACACAATCGCTTCCCTCCTACCTTTTCTGCACTAGAGGGGCCTCAAGAGGCTCCTATCGCGACGGAAGAGTCGGAGTTTGTTGACGCCTACGACCCCCTCTCCTCGATCCTTGAGCAACAATCATCTCCTCCTCTCTTGCTGAAGTTGGATCCGGAAGACGGCAGGGAAGCCGTCGACAGTTGGAAGGAGTGCAAGGAACACGAAGCAGCTCACGTATGTAGGGCTTCTGAAGCTGTAGGTGGATATCTGCCACCGACATCCAATGCAAAAGGCAGCTCTTTCTTCGCTTCCCCTGATGCAGTGGAGCTTGTGAAGAGGGAGCAGCGGGAGGAGAGGAGAGACAGCTCCACAGACGACTCCGCTGCGACGGTAGAATACTTTGTCAGTAGAAGCAGTTCCTCTATGCTGCCTGAAGGCGTATCGGCTGTAGGAGAGGGAAAACTCGTCCAGCTCGATAGCCCGAGCCTCTGCTCTCCTCTGGACCTCCACGACATCGCTACCGCCTTCCAACAGACAACTGATTTGGCTGCAGCCGCCCTCGCCATGCCAAACCCTCCAGTACCTGCAGGAACAGCGCCAGCAACAGCAGCACCAGCAGCGCCAGCTGCACCAGCACTAGCATCAACGTCTGGAAGGACATTACCGACACTGGCCGCTGGTGTAGACGCTCCTGGGAAAAGTTCTGCTGCGGGAGTGGCAACTGCACCCACAGCGCAATCAGCGGCAACAGGATCAGGAGCAACTGGGGTAGATAGAACGGGCTCTCAAACCTGTATGCTGTGGCCCTTTGAAAGCGGCGTGCGGCCATGGGACGACGTGAGGCAAGACATTCGGGAGGCAGCAGAGGCGGTGGGAAGCACTCAGCTGGAAGACCTGCCCAAGAAACGCATTTGGGTTTTCCACAGGGTAATTCAGAAATCATAAACCCTAAAGCATCGGCTGGACTATTGGGGGCTGTTGTCTGCCGTTAGCTAGCAGCGCTGCGCTTCGTTGGAAGCCGCCATACCATCTTCGTGCCTTGATCCCTGTATTGCCTGCCTGCTCTATATTTCAACAGTTTCCACAATATACATGCGTATGTAATGTAATGCATGCTTGTGCCTTGCATATACATTATGTGTGTGGTTACTTTTTTCTCGGGAGTCCGTGCTTTCGTGTTCATGCACATGTGTGGAGGCACACTTCAGTTGTATTACTATATAATATTTATATTATTTATTGGTGCACGGCTCTATAATATGTTACTGCAGCAATATAGCAAAAGCGTATCATGTAGATGTCTTCATGGGTGCAAGTGTGTGTGTGCGTGTGTTTAGGGTGTATGCACACCTGTGTCTTGGTACGCGGACACGAGTTCAGAAGACGTGAAGACTGCAGTATTGTGCGCATGCGATGTGTTGGCCGATGACGTCGGGGGCGTTGAGGCCTGTGGTACAAATGGGGGGTTTTGTCTCCGCCTCATTCAGCCTCTGCCAGACCTGTGGGTCTTGCCTCTCCTGCTGCTGAGAATGCTACTGCTCTTGCTGTTGCAAAATCAGACACTCCGCGTAGTAGGGGCTCTACATGGTTGAATCCTCAAAGAGACATCCAGCTCAGTAGCACATAAACTAGCATGCCAAGCATTCCATCCAGATTTCCACACCTGCAACGGCACACGCCGAAGGAACCTCTATACAATATAGATACTTCATATGCCCCCTGTCGTATAGATTCGCTTCTGCTGTCACTGCTGTTGCTGCTGCTGGTTCTGTTACTGCTGGTGTTGCTGCTGCTCTCCCAAACGCTGCAGCATTTCAGGAGGGGACAACGGCTGAACCTGTTTTTGCTGTTTTGCATCTTCAGTGCGGAAGTGGACGAGGAAGGTTTGTTTAGGGAAGTCAAAACCCTGAGCTTTTGCTGCCAGTTGCCTTCTGAAAAGGGGGTTGCCGAGGAGACCGTGCCCAGTGCAACAACCCAGCAGGCCACTGACTGCCCCGATGCACCTACAGCAGCAGGGGAGACAGAAGCAGACGTACCACCAGAAACAGGAGCAGCAGCAACAGCATCAGCAACAGCAGCTGAAACGGGGGTGTGCAAGGAGATGTCTGTGGTTGTGACGTTGGGGCCTCGAGTGTTCGCACGGGACTTTGGAGACCTACGGGACGGGGGCGCCTACATGTTGGAGCTGCAGGCTGTGGCGTGCCCCGAGCAGCAGCAGCAGCAGCAGGAGCTGCAGCTACTGCGACAACAAGTGGGGGACAAATGGCGGCGGCTAGCTGTAGAAGTGGAACCTCTTAGCCACATCGAAGCCCAAAAGGCCGTGCTGCAGATGCGCAAAGGTGCACATACACAGCAGGATTCCAGCTTAACACGACACTACTTGCATGCGTAGCAGTCTTGTACCTTTCACATACATTCACCAAAAGACGCGGCCCCCAAACTGCACAGCATATACATCTTTGAATCAAACTCCAATGGCTTCTTTGCACGGCACACAGAATGGAAGTCTCCCAAGTGCAGCCACCAACGAACACGAACCAACGAAAAAATGAGACAGAAGCCAAATGAGAGGCAACGGATATCCTAAAGGCAATGAATCAAAAAAGCGGGCAAACAGACAAACACATAGGACTGGTGTGGGTTTAAGATCTGCAGCTCCCGTCCTCACACGAATCACTGAAGCCGTCTGCAAGCCCCAAAATGTTTATGGCAAGGGTTTTATGGTCTATGGCTTGTGCGTGGGAGCGCAGGCACAAATCTGCTGAAGCACACTCGCTTTGGGCATCCTCACCTGCGCCAGTTTCAGCTGTCCACTGACCGCCAGCGCCTGCTATGGTACACCGCAAACAAAGGCAAGAAAGCGTCCGTTGTTAAGTGGCATGAGCTGGAAGGTTTAGTGTTGGGGCAGAAATCGGCAAACTTCGAGGCGTACAGGATTCCTGCGTTGCAGCACCTCAGCTTCTCTCTCGTTTTCAAGCAAGAACAGGGTTTTGCCGAGCTAGCTGCCGCTGCTACGCCTGCTAACGCTGCCGCTGCCGTGGTGCTGCCCCCTGCCTGGCTGGAGAGTGCGCCTAAGACGCTGGATCTCACCTGTAAAGATGAAGTGGAATTCGATTTCTGGGTAGCGGGCTGCAAAGCCCTCATCGCTTCTGCCAAAGGCATCCGACTGTCCAAGCTTCAGCTCCTTTCCCACTCCCGGAGGTTTCTGTCCGTCCCGCCTGTCAAGGGAACCTTCTGTCTTCCCCTTTTGTTCTCCTTCCCTCTTTTTCTGCCTCTCTCTCTGTCTGTCTCTCTTTCTGTATCTGTATCAACCTCTGCCTCTTGCTGCTTCCCTGCGTGTCTTCGGCCTCTGCCTTCCCCCTTTGCTTCACTAAAGGCTCAGCTGCTGCCGATGCTATTGGTGGCGTTGCTGCTGCCATAACTGCCGTTTCTGATGCCTTAGCTGCTGCTGCTAGGTGACCTGTTGCTGCTTCCTGCTGCTGCATCGATTTTGCAGGCTAGCTCTGGAGAGGAGCGAGACCACAGTGCAGCTGACGAAGCTGCCGCAGGTAACGGAACGCGTGGGGCTAAAGGACTGCATGGACCTGCCGTGGTATCCCCCTGAGGAGCTGGAGAGGTTCGCCGCGGTTTTGAGGGTTCCGGGTTTTGGGTTTAGAGTCTTAGCGCTGAGTTGGGGGAGACTAAACATTCTAATCGATGGCTTCCTGCGTGTGCCGCTCAACCCTGAGAACTGCGAGTTTACGTTCTAGGATCAGGGTTTATGCTTGGGATATCAGGCTGAGGGTTAGGGTATAGTTTTCGGGAGGTTCCCACAAGCCTCAGTGCCCGTCACTGCATATTTAAAGGGGTTGGTGGCATATCACGATTTATTTCCACACTCTCAGGATTTACAAGGGGATCTGGAGGACTTAGGGTCTAGGGTTCGGATTTGAGGGCTGTGTTGTTCTTCCACAGGAAATGCCAGGAGCAACTTCTCCGCGTCGAAGCCGCAGCCGAAGAGGTCTGTTAGAAGCTAGTTAGCGATTCTAAAGGCACATTAAAAGCCCAGTTACCTATTAGCTCCCGCCATGCTTAACTCATGCCATGTAGACGAACCCACCAGCTGAAGGCACAGACATCAGAGACACTCCAGACCTATCGAGTTGGTGATGGTGGCGTACAGAGGGGGGGCAAGCACAAAGGCTCTAGCACTTGTACTGTATACAGCTGCAGCCGAAGCTGCGACAGGGGCAGGAAGGGTCGTGGCAGAGTCTGTTGCTTGGGTGTTGTTTGCTGCTGCTCTTCGGTGGAATTGACTTCTGTTTTGAGTTGTCCGCCCATCCGTGGGGTAACAGAAATACGCTCACTAACAACAATACAAACATTTGGAACTCTGCAACATGCCGGAGCCAGGCTTTGTCGTGCCTTCCCACAGAATGAAACACACTCTGTTTATTGGTACTGCGCTTTTGCTGGTGCTGTCTGCAGTTACGGACGCTTCATAAAGGCGGGGCTGCTCCCCCTGCCATGGGTCTGTCGTCCTTTCTGGGCGCGGTGAGTTTACCACATTTCTTTGGACCTTAGCCAATCGCTATGCAAGGTTTGCCTCGCCAATCGCTGTGCAGGGTTTGCCTCACGTAGTAGTTGTAACACCACCACCGACACCAGCACCTGCTGCTGCTGCTCCACCGGCTACAGTCACTGCTCTGGAAGAGCTGCCCCTCTACACACGCAACAGACGCAGCAACTGCAGCGAGACAGCTTCAGCTACTGAAGAAACAATAGCAACCACTTTCACAGAAGCAGCTGCAGTGCCAGCAGTATCCACCTCCGCCGCAGCAGCAGAAGCGCAAACAGAAGGAGTCGGTGTCCTGTGTCCGGATGTGTGAAGTGTTTCGGTGCCTGCTATGAGATACGTATGCGGCCGTCCTTACGTTACGTGTTGCTGTTTGCATTGAAATAGCCTGTGTTGACGGTGGAAAGGTGGGGGACGACTGCACCGCGTGGAGTGTACCCAAAACCATAAACCATCAGCTTTTCCGTACAGATGCTGTTTGATGCGGCCTGTGCCCAGGGCCCTGCGTATGCAACGGTTCTAGAAGACAGAGTTGCAGAGGAAGATGAAGAGACGGAGCTTGAACGCGTGCGGGAACTTGTCGAGGAGGTGCAACAGCTCCTCAGTAATGCGCGGCAGCAGCTTACAGGCAAGAGGCTCTCTAGGTTGAAATCTGGAGAAGCCAGTTTCTATTTTAGTGCAACTAAGAACAAAATGCACACTAATTGCCGCACAAAACCCCGGAAAACTATTGCATGCAACACAACTGAATCCAGTGGTGAACGCAAGTTATATGTGCATGCTGCCTGTGGGTTGTCGCTGTGTGCGGGGCCTTGCAGCATATCGGCAAGCGCAGGAAGCTGGGCAGCAGCAGAAGGAGCCAGTGGCTGCAACATCAGGAACCGGAGGAACCCCGAGTTCCAAGGACTTGTACAAAATTTCTCCTTCGACAACTGCCTGCCCCAGTGGCAACGGTGCCCCAAAGCCGAGCTCGTCAGAAGCTCCCGTTCCCCACACCCCAAACCGGCACCAGGAGCAGCAGCTGCGGGAGCAGCAGCTGCAAGTGCTGGAGCAGGACGGAAGCGTGTTGGCTATATCCTCTGCAGGCACTGTGCTACGAGCAGGCGACCTACGTTTGAAAGACAACTTCGAGGATCCAGCCACCGAAGGACAGCTGGACTTGCAGCATATTTCTCTCCACTTGCAGCGCAGTTTCAGCTCCCTGATCGACACGACGGCACAGGCACAGCAGCGCGTCGCATCCGCATTTGCTGCTGCTGCTGCTGCTGCTGCCTCTGCAGTCCTCGGAGAAGATGCAACAGCAGCACAAACTCGGCGCCCGAAGGAGCAATTGCCGCCCGACGACGTAGGCGCAGCAAGCACCAGTAGCAATATAGCTAGATAGATATATTCGCTCATGCTTTGTACTTAAATGCATGCATTGTGCATGCATTGTCTAGGCATGCGCTCATATATATTTAGAGAAATGTACGTTTGTGCCAATGGAACTGCTCTCTGCTTGTTTGTCCGTCCGTTTCTGCTTATGCTCTGTTATGTTGTGTGACCGTTCGTGTGTGTGGAATGGGGGTTTCGGGTGTACGTCCAGGTGGAGCGGCTGCAGGCCATCAGCCAGTTGCTGTGGCGGGCAGAAGTTGACATTGAAAACATTGAAGATATGCTCAGCCGTTTGCAGCAGCCGAACGGCTTCGGCCATATTGCAGTATCTGATGCTCTCTCTAGCTTCAACGAACTCCTGGCAGGGCAAGTTCGCTCTTGGGGAGGGCAGGTGAGTACAAGAAAGTGCATGCAGCATGCAAACATGCAGAAATCCGCACAAACGCATGCAGTCCTCACGCAAGCAGGAAGCGATGCTTCTGTCTGGTTCTGCATTTGTCCTCTCGCCTGGAGGTGCCCGAGCCCCACATGCTGCCGCTGCTTCCAGCTGTTTAGTCGTAGCTCCAACATCTCCAGCAGCTCGCCGTAGAAGTTCGCTGTAGAACTAGCAGCTAACTGTAGTAGCAGCCAGCTTAAGTAGAAGATAGGCGTTACTATGCGTGCTAACAACGAGCTGCAGGGAGCTTGCTATGAGACCGGGTAGACTGCCTGTACCCGTAGTGTTACCCACAGAGTCCTTGCGGCTCTCGTGTTGATGCCAGCTGCTACTGCTACCGCTGATGCTGCTGCCTCTGAGCTGCTCTAATGGCCGTGTGGCTTCTGTTGTAAACGCAGCACCCGCCAGTTGATTTTGTCGGCTTGCTTCTTTTCGCTACGTGATTATCGTTTATTCGATTTATCAATTAGTTTGTAGTGTCTTGACTGTTTGCATTTGGTTCGTGTTTGCAGCTGTCATCTCTGCTGGATGGCGTGCTTAGCAGCGGCGCCCTCCCCCAGGCGGGCAGAACCGCCTCTGTCTCATCCGACTACAGTCTCGACACCGAATTTAACTAAGTTGTTAAGGCTGGTGATGATGCTACTAGTGTTGCGCTTCAGGCTGCTGTTGCTGGTACTGTTTCTAGTGCTGCTCCTGGTGCTGGCGAGCCCTGCTAAGTTGAATCTCTGCCCGTCGCTACCATCCTTCTCCTCCCTTTGTCCCCACACCTTCGGCCCAATGTATCCAATCCCCACGACGTCTGCACGGAGACGGCCTGAAGCGGCGTGCAACAGCAACATGCATGCTGCAGCAACCTGCTTCCCGCCGCTGCTAGCTACCACTTGCTTGCTTTATTCGATGGGCTCCGGCCAACTTTTTCCTTTTTTCCCATTTGGGACAACGTACCCACCTGCGGTGGCCGCCATGAAGGCCAAAGTTTTGTTTTAAGGGCTTGACAAAGCCCTGACCGCCGCCGCGGGATCCGCCCTTTAGTGCTCACTCTGCAGAGTTCTCACCTGTCCGTGAGAGCCCGATATTGCACGCTTCTGCATGCATCCGTGAATGGGACATGCTGCCCCAGAGATTTCCCCTGGGCGCCGGATGCTGGCGTTGCCTCTGCTGCCCGTAGGTTGGGCAGGCAGAAGCTGAGACGCAATGGAATAGAAACTGGAGCAGGCACATCTTCGAAGATGTTCCTGAAGAGCTCTCACTACAGTATACAAATGCAGTTTATCTATGCATATCTATATATATGGATGTACAGATACCTGCATACTTGTTTGTGTGACTGCCTTTTTGCGTTTGTGCTGCATAAACATCGGGGTCCTCCAAATACACCGAAATATACAGAAGTAGGCAGGAACGTACGCTGTATTCCCTGGATACTGTAAATTAGATATGCGCGTCTGTATGAAGAGAAGATACGGATAAATTGCAGGTGTGTGTACACTTCGGAAAGCGCAGTCATCCCGCCCTCCACTGGTTTGCAAGACGTAGGCGGTTCCCGGACACGACTTTGCAAGCGCGGGTTGTGTACTCCATTTACAGGCATTAGACTGATCATGCTACCCCCAGCAGCAGCTCCTCGTCAGGTTACACCCGTCCTGTGGTACGGACAGCATCCCAAGGGCCTGGGGTTGCACAGGAGGACAGAAATAAGAGGGGATATATTCCGTCGTGAGCTGAGCATCTTTTTTGCTGGGACTCCTGCTTCAAGGGAGAGGGACCCCACAAGAGAGCCTAACAAGCAACGGGCCCTTGCCTTTGCATGCAATAGCACTCTAAAGCAACGGGCAACAAAAACTTGGATCTCAGCAGACAACCGCAGTGCAGGCAGGCACGATGTACCCTTATGGCCACTGAAGCAGTGTTGACGTCGTAAAATATGGATATATTGAACAAGATCACATAAACAGAATTTCTTACGCAGTTGTTGCAGCGGCGTAGGCGCCAAGGTACATAGCAGCAAAGGTGGTGGCGTACGTGATTAAATATAAATACTAGACATGTTCACTTGTTTGGCAGATGCACGAAGATTCGGTTGCGATGGAATAACGCTGCACATATAATGTTGCACTGTTTGATTGTTTTTGAACAATAAAAGTGTCTTAATTTCGGTATTTGCGCTCTCGTAGCTGCAGGGGAGGACCTCGAGGAAACTGTTCGCCTGTTTCGGGGCTTCTCCTCCATAATGAGTTTGCAGTGCATGCACGCGTTCAAGAGCATCGGTCGGAAGCGTTCCTTGTCTGTCAGTGGCCGTTTGTTCTGTCGCATTTATTGATATTATATTACTGCCTCTGTAAATACCTGCTCTGTATTGTCTCACTTTGTCACTTTCGCTGCTTTTTCGCCACTCTGTTCCGCGCTGCTGTGCTGGCGGCCCGCTTGCTGGGGCTGCGGCGCAGCGTCGCCTCCCGTTTTGTGTTTTGTTTGTGCATGTTTTCTTTTGTTGAGAATCTTCTTCTTTACTTTACAGTTGCTTTAGCTAGATCTCGAGGCGTATTGGCCACAAGAGCTGCCTTCATGCGCCTCTGCGACAGTGCGGCATCTGCCGCCCGCCCACTGCTGCCTACGAGCTGAGGCGGAGGCATTGAGTCTTGGTTTCCTTGTGTTTTTCGATTGTTTGAACGGCGCCTTCTCTGTGCATTCTGCTCGTCGCATTTCTTTGCCCTGCTTACTTCCCCGGTATTGCGGTCCCTGTGTGGATCGCTGGAGAGTCTTTTAAGTTCGGGTTGAATCTGTTGCTGCCACCATGTACAACAACATTGGGTTGCCGACGCCTCGTGGCAGCGGCACAAATGGTTACGTGCAGCGGAGTTTGGCGTACTTGAGGCCTCGGCGCACGGACATGCCTGGCTTTGGCCAGTTGGGGCATAAGCCGATTCAGCAGCCCAAGGTGCGTCAGGCGGATCCTGCTTTGCTGCTACACGAGCAGCTGAGGCGTGTGGAGCTTCGTCTTATTGAGGAACGGGCTAAAATGGAGGAGCAGGGCCTTTCGCAGACCCGCATTGAGCGCAGCCTCCAGGTTCTTCGCAGCCAGCTAACTAGAGAAGCTCACGTGGAGCAACAACGGCTAGGGGGGCGCGCTGGCACTCAAGATGGCATCTTCGGCCGCAGTGTGCTGCAGCAAGGAGGCAGTATGGATACCCACGAAGGGGCAGCTTGGAAGCAGCGCCAGCTTGACCAGGTTGCTTCCGCCTTCGGACTCAGCAGCAACCACAAGGTGGGAGAAGCCTTTAACTGGGAGTTGCAGAAACAGCAAAAGCTGCAACGGCAACGCGAATGGGAAGAAAGGAAACGCAGCATGATCGAAGAAAGAAAAGCCGCACTGCGAGAAATACGAGAAAGAAGAAAACGACAAAAACTCGCCGCTAAAAAGAACAAAAAGAACAAAAAAAGAAGCAAAAGTTCAAGCAGTAGCAGTAGTAGCAGTAGTAGCAGTAGCAGCAGTAGCAGCAGTAGCGACAGCAGCGACAGCAGCAGCAGCAGCAGCGATGAGAGCGATGATGATCGGAACAAGCGCTCAGGCCGAGTGAAACCGCAGGTGAAAGGAGAGGAGGGGGAGACAAAGGCAGCAGCAGCGGTAGGAGCAGCTGCAGCAACGGCACATCGGGAAACACCGTCGCTTCGTGCAGTTGCAACAGAGGCTGCGAAGTTGTTGAAGGATTATGACACAAAGAGGGAGAGGAGTGATGGAATGCCGGAGTTAAAAAGAAGAAAGGAGATAGAGGGGACAGAAACCAATAGTCCCCTTTTCTCGGAAGAGGAGACACAAGAGAAGGATGCAGGGAAAAGGAGCAGCGGCAACTACAGACGCAGCATCAGCCGCAGCCGTAGCCGCAGCAGCAGCAGCAGGAGAGGGAAGTGGAGGGAGTCTGAGAAGGGAATAACGAAGGAGAGAACAGATGCTGTCGCCGAGGCACGAGGATACAGAGAAGCAGCAGCCGAGAAGAGATTGCGAGCAACAACTGATGCTGAAGGGGGAAATGCCAGAAGAAGGCTTGAGCCCCAGCGAGACACCGAAGGGACAGGAGACAGACAGAGGCGAAGAGAGGAAGCACAGGCCCTCTCATATACTGCAAACAAGGAAGGAGAAAGAGACCCTAGAGGATGTCGAGACAGAGGGATGGAAGGAGACGGAGCGAGAAGTGCAGACAGAGACAGAGAGGAAGATAGAGACAGGAGGGGAGACAGAAACAGAGAAAGATATGCAGGTGGCCGAGATGATCGATGGAGAGGAGAACATGGTGGGGACAAAGACAGGAGGGCAGACCGGAGAGAAGACAGGGACAGGAGAGAAGAGAGAGGTGTGAGAGAAGACGGAGACAGGAGGAACGACAGAGATAGGAGAGAAGACAGAGATAGGAGAGAGGACAGAACCAGGAGAGAAGAAAGAGACAGATGGGAAGAAGAAGACCGAGGTAGGAGAGAAGAACGGGAGAAGGACAGAAGTAGAAGAGAAGATGGAGGGAGGGAGGGAAAAGTAGATAGGCACAGAGGATTGGACAGAGGGGAGGACAGACACAGAGGAGACAGAGACGGGGGAGGAGACACACACAGAGGCATAAGAGCAGATAGGGACAGGAGGGAAGACAGGGACAGGGGAGAAGACAGAGACAAGAGAGGCGACAGGGACAATGGAGGGGAGAGGGACAGAGAGCGGGACAGAGATAGGGAGAGGGGAGACAGAGAGAGAGGGAACAGAGGCAGAGACTTGGGAGGCAGTGAATGCGACAAAGGGGGAGAAGGAGACAGAGGAGGAAGAGAAAGGGACTGAGACGAAGATATGGAGACGGAGGAAGCGGCCACAATGGACGAAGAGACAGTAGAGGGGAGTGCAGAGAGTATATACCGCAGAGCCAAAATGGACAAAAAGAATAACGGCGGCAGGAACGGCAGATATGCTGCGAGGTCCAGAGAGTCTCAAGAGGAGAAGAAGAGTCTCTCTTCTTTTCTCTAGTGTGCTGCGGTGTACAGACACCTCACCAGCCACAGGCTCTTCTGGTGGTTTTGCCTCAAATAGCGTCCGTGTTTTTCTCCACTCTCTGCGTCTAAACGGCTTCTTTTGCATCTGTTTAGTCATTTGTTTATTTGTCGTTTGGTTGGTTGTTTTGCTTTTTAACATTTTTCTTCTGCTTGTTTGCTGGTTTCAGCTGTGTTGCTCTCCTCTGAAGGTGGATATTGCAGAGGGTGATGCACAGGTCCAGGCCAAGCAAACCGAGATACAGACAGATGCAGAGGTAGAGACAGACAGTGGATATAGATGCAGTCAGAGGAAGAGATAGAGACAAGCAGTAGAGACGGAGGCGCATTTAGAGGCCGAAATGCATTGAGGTTAATGCTCAGACTGTATCGGGTGGGTCACAGCTCCTCCAGGTGAAGGCGTCTACATACCGACCTTCAATAATACCAAAGCCAAGGGGCTCTGCTATGCTGCTGGACCTATGGCTGCTGTTGTGTTTACGGGCGTCGCTGGCAGGCAAGCGCCATAGCAGCAGCAGCAGCATTAGTGCAGCCAACTCGAAGAAGCCCTCCAGTGTGGCCCATGTGGGACGGCACACCACGGGTTACCGTAAGGCTTGTTGGGATTGCGCGCAGCAGTCGGATGGCGTGAGGCTAATGAGAAGTTGCAGCAAGGAGACAGAGGGCAGAGACAGTGCTCATGGTAAACACGTTCTCAATCTGTACAGACAGACATGCTCCGCTGCTGCTGGTGCTGCAGCAGCCAGCTGAACGTACAATAGGCACAGGTTCGCAGGCCTCTGTTGCCTGTTCTTCCGTGCTCCGTTACTGATTTGCTATTGCTCCCTAGGGGGGGGGATCAGTTGGGGCATTGGGTGCTCTGAAGTGCGTGTGTCTATTTTGACGGAATTAGTAAGTTTTTCTGCCTGTTGGTTCGCCTCTTTCTTCTCTTCTCGTTCTCTTCTTGCCTTCCGTGCTTCCTTCCTGCCTCTTTGCCGTCATGGCTGTTTTCTGTCTTCTTCTTTCATCCCTTTCTTCTTTCTTTTCTCTTTTCCTCTCCTGCCTTTATCCTTCTGCTTCCGCCTCTCGTCCTCTGCCTTTTTCTTCTATCGTCGTTTTCTTCTGTTTTTACCTCCGCTACGGCTTTTCCTCTTCTCCTTCCTGTTGTTTCTCTGCCTTGTCTGGATTTTGGTGTTGCTTCTCCTTCATGTTTTTGTGTAATTTTCCTTTCATCGCTTTCTAATTGCAGATAATCTCCTGCGATCTTTTCCCATTTCTTTCTTCTTTTTTCCGCCCTCGACTCGAGTGCAGCCAGTTGGGCTGTCAAGGGAATGCATATCACAATTAATCCAATAAACAGATAGATGAAAAAATAGAGGTGTAAACACAAGTAACAAAATATATACGCATGTAAATAAATAAATAAATGCGGTGGCCAAAAAGCAAACAACGCGACGCCACCAGGTCCTATAGCTTAGTTGTTAAGAGCATTCGGCTAATAGCCGGAAGGTCGAAGGTTCGAGACCGGTTGGGACCATTTCCTCGTCTTTGTCTCCTGTCTTTTTGACTTCTATTCCTTCTCCAATTACTTCGTTCTATTCCTTCTCCAATTACTTCGTTTTTCACTCGTGGCCTATTAAGGGGCCGGACGTCGTTAGCTGCTGCTGTTGCTGATGTTTGCAGCTGCCCTTAACTCTCTTCTTCCTGCTGGGAGCGTGACCAAAAGGGGCGGAGTTAGCAGTCTCAAAAGTTCAAAGAAATGCGTCTGCTTCAAAGTTTCTGCACGGAAGCATCCAGGGGAGGCAGAACAGGAGTCTGAGGACCAAGAAAGCGGCCAGAGGGCCTTTCCAGGTACCCCTTCTCGCTAATGTAATTCATGGTTAAGTCATTTAATTGTGCTCTTCCCTCGAGTCTTCTTTGGGCAGGCAGGGCTGGAGGCTCCTCTTCCTGTGCTGCTGGCGCAGGCGCCAGCCGGTTCGCCGACATGGTGTTGTCCTCTACACGGGACAATGACAGCGTAAAATAGACGGACAACTGTTTCAACAGGCCTTTCAAATACAAAAGTGCTTTCCCAAAAATATTTTTTGCACAGTTTCTCAACAAGTGTTCTCATGTGGGGTTGGGTCTTCTGCCTTACCATTGGTCTTTGGTGGATAACCACCCAAGTGCTCCAGCCCTCAACGGGAGCGGCCAGTGGGGGACTACAGCACATCAAAAAAGTGAACACTTCAGTTCAGTCTGTTAATTAGTTGGTTTTCTGATTATTGCGCCTTACTCCGGGCTCCAATTTTCTGCTTATCTCATGCGCCCTACGGGGCCTAGGGTGGGAGTGGGACCAGTGACTTCGAGGGGATGGTGGGCGGCAGCAGACGAAGGTAGGCGACGCAAATCGCAGTAAAACACATCGATTATTTCACAAGAACAAACTAAAAGGCATTTAAATCAAAAACAAATAAATAAATAAACACTTAACGAGGGGAAATCGTTTTTTAGACATTGGGCGCAGCACTGCAGCAGCAGTGGCCCTGCCACCCAACCTACGACAACACCGCAGCCAAGGAGAAAAACGGTCTCATAATTAAAGTTCTGGTGCTTTGTTGCATTAAATGATAGAAGCATATGAGCAGGGGATAGAAACTCCTTTGAAATGCCTGCCATCAAACCCGGGGTCGACGATGAACAATGCCGCGGAACTCGCTGCTGCCGCTGCTGCTGGTGTTGCTGTTGCAGCTGTTGCAGCTTCTGACGATGCAGGAAAAGCAGCATTCGACAGCCGCAACAGCCATTTCCGGCCTTTTTAGTCTCTCATGCCTGGCCTTAGGAGCCCCTATAGCTGCCGCAATCGCGGCAGGAGCAGCAACAATAAACGCAGCAAACAGCAGAGATGAAGAAGAAGTTGTGCGTCGGGGGGCAGCTGCGTACAATCAACTGCTGCGGGAATCTGTAGAAGAGGGTGCCGCGAGCGGCTGCTGGCAGCAAGTCAGCGAGCAGCTGCTGCTGCTGCAGCAGCAGACTATTGAAGACGCCTGCAGCAGCAAAGGAGAGCCCTTTAGAGAGCTAATTGCTCTGACACGGATGCGGTGTATATACATCAGGAGTGGCCGCCTTTTTCCTGGGCCCGCTGAAGGGTGTTATCTCTTTCCCCATGAAGTCCCAGCAAGCTGGATGCGTCCGTGTCTTCTCTGTCTTGTTGCTGTCTTGTGTGTTTTTTTGCCTTTTTCTTGTGTAACAATTTTTTACTATTATGATCATTTGGTATTGCTAGGAAAGGTGGTGTTATTATAACGACCTTTGTCGCTTTCTTCCACTTTTGTTCTTATCGGTCTCGGTGTCATGTTTTCTTCGGCCTCCAGCACATTCTATATCGTTGTCTCTATCGCTATTCCTGTGCCTCTCTCCATCTCGGTCTGCCTTCAACTCTACCCCTTTCTCCATCTCCGCCTGTATTTCAATCGCTGCCTCTATCTCTATTTTGTCTTTGCCGCCAACTCTACCTGCGTATCCCTTTCTCTGTCTTTGCTAGTCTCTATTTCTGCCGCTATCTATGTCTCTCTCCATCCACCGAGGGGGCGAGCAAATGAAGTAGCTTCTAATGCTGCTGCTGGTATATTGTCTCCGCTGTGTTGCAGACACAAACGTTGGCGTTGATGGCGGTGCTGTTGCACGAGATGCGTCATTATCTCATCCCTGCTTGCAGCTTAACGAAGTCCTAAGACAGCTGCAGCAGCTGCAGCAGATCCAACAGCTGCAACAATTGTCAACAGGGGAGTGGGACGACAAAGACGAGCAGCAGCAGCAGCAACAGCGGCACCAACAGGAAGAGCCAACAGGGGTGGCAACTGAAACCACAGCAGAAGAAAACGCAGACGCAGCAGCAATAGCAGAGAAGAAGGTGGAATTGATATTTGGGGATCAGAGCTCTCCTCTTCTGCAGCTGCAAGGGCTGCAGCAGCGGAAGCAGCAACTGTACAGACACTGCATTGCCCTGACCCGGCGTCAGACTGCTGCCTGCCAGCAGCACAGAGCGATGGACTTTGGCACATTTGCCCTCGTCAGAGAACAAATCAATCACATCGGTAATAACCGTCTTGCTGCTGTTGCTGCTACTGCCGATATTGCTGGTGGTTCTGCTCGCGTTGAAAGGGCTGCTATTGCTAGTCCCGGTGCTGTTGGTGGCATTGCTTCTCACCTTGCCGTTTAACATGCATCTGCGGACAGTGCTGATATTGATAGTGGCGTTGGTGCTGCAGCTGCTGAAGCTGTTGCTGGCCTTTAGGAGGCTTCTTGTGCCTTCCTGGACTCTGCCAGATTTTCGCTTCTGTTGTTGCATTCTGCTGGTGCTGCTGGTTCTGCTGTTGCTTTCTTCAGACAACATTTGTTTCTTCTTGCACAGTGCTGAGCGACAAAGGAGGGCTGAGGAAGCCGCTGTCCGTTTGTCTGCCGCTTCCGCTGCCGCTGCAGCTCGAATGCAGCAGCAGCTACAGCAGCTGGAGCACATGGGGAAGCTTCAGGAACAGCTGCAGCTGCAGCAGCTGCAAGGGGGAAGCTACATGCAGCAGCTGCTCCTGCAGCTGCAGCGGGGGTTGGAGGAGTGCTTTACTGTGCTGCAGCAGCTGAAGGCTTTCCACAGAGCAGTAGGGGAATGGCTGGGAGGCGGAGAAGCAGCGGCTCTGTACTTTGCTGCTGGTGTTGCTGCCTTTTTTTTTACAGTTAGCAGCAGGGTTGCTGCTGCACGCTTGCAGTTGTTTTGTCTTCTTGCTGCTTCCGCTGCTGCAGAGATAGCGCTGCATCGCGGTGGGCTGTCCCCTTATCTCAACATGCTAATGCAGCACCAGCACAGGCCACATTCCGAGTCTCCTGCTTACCCTGCTGGTGCTGCTACTGCCGCCACTGCTACTGCTTATGGAGTTCCACACAACAGCACCCTGGCGTGGATTGCCGATGCCGCATGGACCGCCGCCGCAACTACAGCAGCAGCAGCAGCTGTTGTTGTATCTGCTCATGGAGTGTCTTTGGTGCGTTGGAGCTGCTTTCTGGCTGCCTGTTGGTTGTGGATGCGCTGCTTCTGGAGCTACACAAGCCCCGAGCAGCAACTGCAGCAGCAGCTGCGGCTGCTACAGGAGCAAGTTTACGGGGTGCGTCAGGAGCTACACGAGGCCCAGGCGGCTGGGGAACCGAGAATGCAGGAGATGCAGCAGCTGCTGCAGCAGCTGCTGCAGCGCGTTGCTGCGAAAGACGCAGCCGTGCAGCAGCTGCAGCAGCTCCAATGGGAAGAGGGGCAGCTGCGGCAGCAGCAGCAACACGAAGCAGAACAGGCACAGGAACAGCAACAGCAGAGCTTGGCCTGTCGTGCGGTGCGGTGGGCAATTCTTCTGGCCGTCAAGATCGTCATCTCAGTTTTCGCTGCCGTCGTTGCAGCAGTAGCATCAGGTGTACCAGCAGCGTGGATGTGTTTTCTTCTTCCGTTGAGGGTCTGCGGCTTCCGCAAAGCCTCCGGTGGCCCCGCCGCCTCCTGGAGCAGCAGCACCAGTTCGGAGAGCAGCAGCAGCTCGAACACCAAAAGGAGCTGCACCAGCAAGAAGGAAGACAATCCTAATAATTTGCTCTCTGGGGTGTGTCTCCAGAGTTATCGCAGCAGAAGATATTTGCTGCAGCAGCAGCTGCGGAGGCGTGGGCCTGAATTGCCTCTGGGGCTGCGGCAGCAGTCCCTGCGATATAACGAAGACGAAGGAGAGGCAGCAGATCCTTCCTACCAACCCTCAACAAGCAGCAGCAGCAACAGCCGCAGCAACGGCACGAGCAGCAGCGAGCCGGAATACGAGTCTCCTGCCGTGGCTACTGATGCTGCTGAAACTGCTGCTGTAGAACCGCGCATTCCCCCTGCTACTGCTGCAGAACCTCCTGCAGCTGCACAGGTGCCACACCAAGAGCAGCAGCAGCAGCCGGCAAAGACGCACTCCTCTCCGCAACAGCAGTCCCCGCAGCAGCCGCCTCTGCCGCAGCAGCGGCAACAGCACCAGCAGGCTGTGCGGCGGAATCCTGTGAGAGCCTGCCGTGTTTTGAACTTTCGCAGAGTGGAGGACCCTCAGCACCCTGACGTTTTCATGAGAGAAGTCATACCCGTAAGACTATCAATAAACAAATACATATAAATGTGCTTATATCCTATATATATATATATATA